CGACTGTGCCGGGTGTGCTATTGACAGTGCCCAATAGAGATGATGCGAAGGGCGGGCCACCCTTCACATCTGGCCACCACATGGGTGGTCAGGAAGTCGCGGAGAAGTGCGTGACAGTACATTCGGTGATCGGTTGGCTGACTCACGGCCAGTGTAGGCGTATCCGATTACTACTGAGGGTGAGATTCTGACTAACAAATTATCTACTGACTTGAAAGGCAGGCAGATTAACGATAGACTTGCCTGCAACTCGTACTGATCCTGAGGCAGGTACAATCCCATCGGGACAAGAAGGAGGACATATCTGCTCCAGGTTAGCTACTCAACTACTAAAGGTAGAGACCACAACCAAAAATCGAGATTGCCGGACACTGGTGCAGTGGTCGACATGGCGACCGCAATTCATCCCAGCTTGTTTCTGACATCAGTGTCCCTGCCAGACTCTTCGACAGGTTTTCGAAGAAAAAACTAAATTCATGTTGGCTCCGCTATCCTACTACACTGTAATCGCTAGTGTTCCGTGCGTGTGTGTGTCTGTGTGTGCGTCTGTCTGTTTGTCACGAAATTCATAGCGCCGCTCCCAGCAACGGTGGAACGATGGTTCCAAGAAGTGATGTAGGGGTGTCACGGGAACACTGTGGTGACAGGGAGTGATATCAGCTGATAAGATCCGATAAGAGGCGTTAGAAGGGGAGTCACCGAGTCCATAGTGCGGGACACAGCAACAGTGGGACGTTGGTTCCAAGGTATGATATAGGGTGTGGGACAGGAACATTATTGGTGGGTGACAGGGAGTGATATCAGCTGATAAGATCGATAAGAGGCGTCAGAAGGTGGAGGTCACTGAGCCCATAGCGCGGGTCACAGCAATAGTGGGACGTTAGTTCCAAGGTATGATGTAGGGTGTGGGACAGGAACATTATTGGTGGGTGACAAGAAGTGCTAGCAGCTGATAAGATTTGATAAGGGGAGTTAGAATGGGAAGGTCACCATACTCATAACGCGGGACACAGCATCAGCTAGGCGTTGATTTCAGAAAATGATATAGAGTGGGAGATGGGGACATCGACGGCGGTGACAGGAAGTGATAACAGCTGATAGGGGCTGATAAGGAACGTTGCCGTTGTTGTTCAGTCAAATGCTGGAGCCTTTACACTACCAAATTATAGAGTTTTAGTGATAGGGACATTGATGACGGGTGACAGGCAATCTTATCAATTGATAAGAAAGGATAAGGGCCATTCTCATTACATCTCTTATCACTATACTGCCAAGTATTGAAGGCTCAGTGTGCAAACTTTTCCTTTAGCCATCACTTCTCTGATAGCACTAGAAAATGAACTCATCCCACTATCCTACTATATAATGTCGATGTCGACGAGCGGGGGGGGGGGGGGGGTATGTAGTTCGCCTGAAACAGGGAAACTCAGGGAAATCGGAGCAGAGTCGGGAACTCAAAGAATGCGGCACTATGCGTTTTTTACTTCGAAGCTTGCAGTTACTGATGAGAACGATGAGAACGAATAAATGGGAGTATAGCACCTACAATTAATTATACTCAGCGAGCGTACTGCAATTGAGAGGTAATAGAAAGGGAAGCGCTCACCATTTTGGTGCACTTGATGGGAACTGAGATTTTTCTTCTACTGGCCGTTTCATATTGTGCTGTATTAACCAACTGCGAATTGTTGTATCTTTGTCCACAGATCTATGTACTCTATGGGCGCTATTGCACGGACCAACCACTGCAAATATGCAGCGGCGTGCTAAGGCGTGGGAGGACCGTGCAGGGTTGTTCTATCTTTACGATTATATTCTTTTCTATTATTCGACGGCATATGAGCTGCCAGGAAATAAACCAATCCTTTCATTACGATACGCACATGGCGAAGGTAGGTCAGCCCGGCGAAGCCGGGCCTCAAGAGAAGGAGGATACTTCGGCGTCAGCCGGACGATCCGACTGGTACAAACATATAGCGGTGAGTGAGGGGTAAGGCACTCAATGGTGAGGCAATGTTGGTCGCCGCACTGATGGGCGTGGCCGCTACGCCGCAGCCGTTGCGTGCGAGTTGTGTTGTTCTCTCTTAGTCTTAAAGTTGAAGGGATGCACGGGAGCAAACAGAATGCTGGTCAAGCACGCCATGAACTAACTCAAGTTCCTCCGCTCCAGTGGGCAGGTAAGGTGGGTTGAGTCAATGAGGCTAAGGAGGCTTTGCCATTCGTTCTTGCGTCTAGTGGTGACACCACGGATCGGGCTACCAACGGAACTTAAGTGGTTATTCACTTACTCGCAGAACATGCCTTTGAGCTGGGATCTGTCAGTAAGGCAGCGTTCAGATTTGTAGCGCTACACCTGTTGCGCTGCAATGGTACCGAGGCCCAGTTTTCATTTGTTGCTTCTTTCAGTCCCTCAATCCATTCTTTCTTTGTTTCTCATTCTGATTGTTTCTCATTTCTGATTCTTAGCCCTATTTTTCATGTTTTTCTTACATTTGTTTTGGCGCTGTTTGTCGAGGGGGGCATTTCGTTCATAACTGTTCGGCTGCTTCGGTTGACAATCCACTCTGGTAAAACTTGTGAACGCTTGTGAAGCTGGAGCAAGATCGTCTAGCCACCATCCTAAAACGTGTCAACTCGAAAAAGGGTACCTAGATGGGTTGGCAAATCTATGAAAAGCAGAATGCCCCCCCTCCGTCAATTTAAACAGTGATTTAACCTTATATGATTTTTTGAAGCAGAAATGTGATAATGGTTGTATACCGTTTTCGGCTTTAATTAATTATTCAGTCTCAGGGTTCCTATTGATGTTTGTTGTTTTGCAGTGGTCATGTTGACCCCGATTACGAAATTGTGAAAAGTGAAAAAGAGGAGATAAGAATCAGAAATAGAAGAATTGAGAAACAACGAAAAAGGGATAATATGAACGAAGAACATAAGGGTAAAATAGGGTCTGAATACAATTGTTAGCGGCGCACGTGTAGCGCTACAAGTCTGAACGCTGCCTAACACGGACAATTTTCAATGATCCTTTATTAAATGATTTAGATGGAAGATTTCTGTGCCGCCTATCAAAACAGCAGCGCTCCGAATATCACCGCATGTTTCTGCGTGAAAGATGACTGTAACAGTGACACTTTTGCACAAGTTAGTTTGAACTTGTTCTTCCCCCTTTATATTTATTTTTCCGACTTCTTAGCTGTACGTAGAGTAGTCCGAGACGGAGTAGTCCCGTCAATGATGGGGGTGAGTGCTGTCTAGGCGTTTCATTATTTCTAGGCGAGGCCGCGTTCATGCTTCGCGACACGAGCGATCTAGCAGCGTGTCATTGTGCTCACCGCTAGTCGACTGGCCCCTGCAAATGTTAGTTCCGCTCACGAATCGGGTGTTGGTAACTTTTCTTCGATCGGTTGGTTCGGCATGATAATGGCTTTGTGGGAGCGCGATCGATTGGCAGTCGTGCGACTTTAATCGGCTTTTGTAATCTGCAAAAAAGTATGAACGCGGCCTAAAAACCCACTGGCATACTTGGAAATGCTAAACACGTCTCAGTGACATGCAGGTGTTATGCTCATGCTGCGCGAGGACATTCTGGTAAGTTTTGATGGAATCACAGGTAAAAAATGAAATTGAGTACGGGTAAGTATGTGTCCACGATGGGAACATTAGAGGATCTTATTGCCTCACGTGTTGGGTCACTGATTCAGAGTACTGGGACTTTCTACAGTCACGAACCCTACAAACGCGCAGTGGCTGAGACCTGAAGCACAACCAGAACATACTTCTCACCAATCGTTGGGGTATCATCGTTGGAGATAAAGGCAGCCGAGGTGAAGTATGGCGAATCCCGCGTTGTAAGGCTGCCGTTTATACTTTGCGGCAGCGTAGCGTAGCGCTCAGCGTTACGCAGCCAGTGCCGGGAAGTAGATGCATATCGATCTTAGCGTACGTCCCAGCGTAACGCTAGCGTACGCCAGCGTTTCTCCAGCGTTTCACCAGCGTTTTGCTAGCGTTTGCAGCGGCAGGGGAGTAGAGACTATGGGAGAGCTGGAGGGTACAAAACACATCGATTGCGCGTCTCTCACTCGCCCTCAGTCTCTACAATACACATCGATTCCGCGTCTCTGACGGCCACATAGTCTCTACAATACACATCGATTGCGCGTCTCTGACGGCCACATAGTCTCTACAATACACATCGATTGCGCGTCTCTGACGGCCACATAGTCTCTACAATACACTTCGATTGCGCGTCTCTTACTACTCCCCTGCCGCTGCAAACGCCAGCAAAACGCTGGTGAAACGCTGGCGAAACGCTAGCGTTACGCTGGGACGCTAGATCGATATGCATCCTCTCCCCGGCACTGCCGCTGGCGTACGCTGGAAGCGCTACGCTGCCGCAAAGTATAAACGCAGCCTAAGGCATGTCGCATGCGCGGCATTTGCACGGGAGCCTGACTTCATCGCATAGAAGTGCCGCAGTCTACTCAGCTAGCTTGTGCTTTACATGGTGACACCACATATCTTTCAAGCCACATACGCTAGAAACGACACGTGAGACCTATCCAGATTGGACTGTGAGTAGACCAGGCTTTGCTTCTCTTCTAAAAAGCAGGCATAAAACCCTAGAATCATTTTCAGATTTTTGATTATGTACCACTTTCGAAGGAATTCGCTTGATTTTGAGGAATTTTTCATGTTTCAGGGACTGCTTGGCTCAGATCCGTCCAAAACGCTCTCTATAACGAAGGTGAATACGTGGACAGCCGTGCATGATGCTGATCATACCAAAAAACTTTTTGAATGCTTCAAAATCAACTTGCAACAATCTGCTGGCACCACCGGTGGAAATGGAGCGAGTCCCGACGCAAGTCAAGGCACTGGAACCGTTACCGCTGCAGAAGTTACAACAGAAGCTCCATTTAACCTGCAGAACGTGAACGAAACAGTGGGAAAACACATACCGGAAGAAGCAAGGGGCTTCTGGTACAAGTAGGTTTTTCCTTATTTGCTACAATTTGTTAGAACGTTAGAAAGGCGCAGTTTTGCTGACGGGGGATTCTGCACTTCCGTTGCTCCACTAGTTCTGGTTTACAACTCTCACTCTGGTGAAGCCTGTTGGTCTTGTAAAGCTGGAGCAAACTCGTCAAGCCACTATGGTAAAACCTATCAACTCAAGAAGAGGCTGTCTAAAAGGGTCAAACTTTGATGGGAAGTCGTTATAGTGCAAAATGTCCCCCGTCGCCAAACAGCGCCGTTAACAATGTAAAAGGACAAACCAACTCTGTGAAGACGCAGCGCTAACTTAGTCACAGGATAAGGACAGCCCAGCACGCCTGTGTGTCATTGCCGCTAAGCTTGGCTTGAAGACACACGCTAGGATCACATAGGTTTGGGTGTGGCATAGTCGAATGCGCCCCCCCCCTAGCTGTCGAATGCGTAGGCGAGTTCCACGTCTAAAGGGCGAGCAGGAATGGAGATACAGGACCGTGAAACACCCTAATTCCTCCAAGCTCCGCCCAACACCTTTTGCGGCGTAGACTCCTCTTCATGCTAACAGCCGTCGTTTGCGCGTGGGTCGCGTGCGGCTCTCTTGGCTTTTTGCCAAGTCCCCTAATTGCGCTTTGGAATACAAGTAAAACGCAATTTCCTGATGCGGATAACATTTGAGGTGCTGCAAAAGTAAGAGCCGAAGATGATGACGAGGGGCAGAACTCAAGAGCAACCATGCTGCTTCTGCAACAGAGGCCGCGCATTTCCACGAAACATGAACGGCCCTGAGCGTTCACATCGTGTTCAATACAAGCAAAACGCAATTTCCTGATGCGGATAACATTTGAGGTGTTGCTCATGCTGCAAAGTCCGAATAGAAGGTGATGAAGATGACAAAGGCTAGAAATGAAGAACAACGAATGTAGATGTAAATAAAAAAATGAAAAAATTAAGGAAATGCAAATTAATTAGAATCGCGTGTAAATTTCTGCAATTCGGCGCGATTCCGGCTCCAAAGCCATAAAAATACTTTAAACTAACGAGTGGGACGCTTAGGCCGTTCATGTCTCATGGAAATGCGCGGCCTTTGAGGGTTATTGCAGAAGCAGCACAGTTGCTCTTGATTTCTGGCCCTCGTCATCATCTTCAGTTCTTATTTTGCAACACCTCAAATGTTATCCGCATCAGGAAATTGCGATTCACTTCTATTCCAAAGCGCAATTACAGGACTTGGCAAAGATGCCGAGAGAGCCGCACGCGACACGCGCGCAACTACGCACGGATGGTTTGGGCAATGATGGAGTCGTACGCTGGCAGAAAAGGTATGCGCGGAGCATGGAGGAATTGGCGTGTTTCACGCTCCTGTATCTCCATTCCTGCGCATGTTAGGACGGGGAAACCGCTACGCTTCGACAGCTGGGGGGGGGGGTGGGCAAAAAACGGGTGCAAAACAAAAACCATCAAACAAACGGAACGGGACTCATTACGCTTGGGAGGGGGTCGACATTGACACTTGCAAGGGAAAGACAGTAGTCGAAAGGGGAGAATTAGTCAGCATAAGGCCGCTGAAAACGGTGGGAGCGTCGGAAGGGTAGCTGGGAATGATGGTTGTTGTGGCTGGAAGGGGGAGGAGTGGGGCGGAGGGGCGGAAAGGGTAGTGGCGTTGGCATAAGGTCCCTGAAAGGAGTACGTCGTTGGAATAACGTCGCTGGAATAGTAGCAAGTTGAAAGAGAGGAATCGTCGACATAGGGTCACTGGAATGGTGGTGACGTCGGCATAAGCTATTGCTGGTGGTTTTTGTGCCGAAATAAGGTAGTTAGAAGTGGTGGTAGCGTCGTTACAGGAACGCTAAAAAAGGTTGGGAGAGAGTAAACAAATGGTAGAGGTCCCACTACTATACAGCGATGATGGAATCATATGATAAGGGTGGCGATCGTAAAGAAACGGGCGGAGATGGTAACGTGTGGCAGAGCTCTGGCGCTGTCACCAAGCAACTTCGGCCAGTAAATCCCCAGACGTCCCTGAGAGCGAACCGCGCTACCTGGTCCAAGGAAGGGCTCCTGCAGGTTTCCACAATCGGAGACGCTGCCTTTAGGTTTACTGGTCTCCAGAGCTTATCTAGAAAAGTTCTGTTCCAATTGCAGCAGGTAAGTGGTTCTTTTTCAGATACTGGCTGTATATTATTATCGGGTTGGTGGTACTCCTAATACTAATTATTATTTGTTGCATATTGTATCTGCATCAAATGCTGTAAGGTGAGCCTTTTTTAGACACCATTGCTGTGCTTGAGCGCGTTTATACTCCACGATACGATCGCATGGGTCGCTCGATTGGATCAAGAAGTATGAACGCGCCATGAGGATAGTCTTTGATGCTGTTGAAGACACACTGTACGATTATCTGAGGGATGGAACCCTTGCCATGTACAGTATATATCCAGGAGTGGGTGTGCCTGTGAATCATGTTTCTATCCACTAACAGACAGAATGGCGGTTGTTACTACCACACGGCATATCATTAGGCGGAGATTTCAAACAAGTCACGACCTTCCCACCTTTCAGGGGGTTGGTACGACTCCCCCCCCCCCTTGGGTCCTTCCTCATCGAGATGCCGAGCGAAAAACCGCGCAGGAAAATGCGACCTCCTCTTTCTACCTTTCTCAGATTTTCCCCAACTCCCTACCTCTTCTCCATGGAATTTCTTTCCTGAAAATCTTCCCACCTTTACCCAGAAATTTTGCTGTCGAGCGCGGAAAGGTGGGGGTGGTCTATAGTGCACACGAAACAGGAAAAACCACGAAAAGTAACCAACATATGTTAGAAGGTCTCGAGGGAAATGCGGACCACTCCTTTACATTATCCCCGAAACAAGAAAAATGAACTGTCAAAAAACCACCAAAAGTTTTTCCCAGCTCAAATATGATCCTCACCGAACTTCCTCCTCTGATACCACCCTTCCCACACCACCTTCAAGCTTCGCATCCAAGTAGGGAGTGAGGAGAGAGAATCGTCGCCAAACAACTAATAAATCCAGCTAGTTCGCCTATTCAATGAGAGGGAAAATATTTCCTTGATGCCAAATGCAACGTCTCACCGAGGGCGGTAACACTTCCCGGGAAAGTCAGATGTGGAATCTGGAATCACCTCAAAAAACCTCAGCTAGTTCCACGTGACCCACTGCACCCTATCGCACAGAGAGGGCACAGGAGAGCATGGTGTTTTTAGTCGAAAGGCGTGGCAAATGAAAGGCGGATAAGTCAGAGACATCACACAATCACAACTTTAAAGACAAGCCCCCGCGCTCGAGTAGTACATGGTCGTCCTTCCTTGTGCAAGTAGTACAGCCCCCAAGCTAGAGACTGTCCCACTCTATTCGTCTGCACAGCGAGCGAGAAGCGAGCTACAGCCGCTGTAAGTTCTAGTTCTAACGCCTGCTCAGTTGGACCGCCTTACTTGCTAGATGTCCTCCGACGGAGGCCACTCAGTTGTTCTTAGAAGCAAAGAAAGCCAAACATTGGGAAAGGAATACACTTAGTCGAGGCGGCGGGCATTACTAATGCCCATGGATAATTCTGCTCCCCTTTATTACAGTTTACTCATTGGAGGTATATACATTCAATTCAACTCATTTCGCGAGGTGAAACGCGTAAAAAGCACGAGTGACGCAATTTTCGTGATGCAAAACCTCGACGCACAAAACGTGCGCTACCGTAATCCCAAATTCAGACACCGCGTTGATAAAATTCCTCCTTCCAAGAGTTTTTCCTCTGCGTTTTTGTTGTTTTCTTTTTGTATTCTTTTTTTGCACTGGATGATATCAACTACTGCGAGATGTGATAGAGAGATTTGGAGGGTTGCACAGAGACCGCAGGGAGGTGTGACTGTGAGGGAGCGATTTTGTTTGTTGTTCTGGAGGACGCTTCTTGCCTGTTTTCTTCTTTGGGAGATTACTTATCAGCTACTGTTTCATAATTGGAAAGCAGCTATCCATGAGACTTTTATCGCGGGAGCTGTCTTTAAAGGCAGTTGGCACGATGGTTTCCTACTTAGCCTAAAATGCTAGTAGGGCGCTGTATAGTGGGGAAATGGCGAAAGAACGGAGTGAAACGGTCAAAATCCTGCGAAGAAAAAGCCTCCGTTCTCAGTGACTTGTAAATCGATTTCGGACGAGTTTCCCGTACGCATCTTGCCAATCACCGCTACCGAAGATACGGCTGCATATGTGTACCCATATATGCATGCAGCATCACCGCCGCTTCATACCAATCCCTTTGCTTCATAATTTGCTCAGCAAATGAATGAATACGAGCGTCAGAAACGGTCGTCCGTTTGCGGGGCAAGGAAGGCGTTTGGGACGTAAAGTTGTTGCTCAATTAGGGGCGTTATAGAGGTACCCTCCCTTGGAAAAGGCTTCACCCGCAGCGCCTGTTCGACGGTCCCACCGCACCCATTCTGTTGAGCCATTCGTACAAATCCCACAGCTGTATAGCGATTTATCGTGCCAACTGCCTTTAAGCTTCCCTGTCAAGCACTTCTGAGCGGCGCAAGCAGCATGCACAATTCAGCGGCTGTGGGATAGCCTTTGATGCTCGAAAAAAGACGCCTATCAGATAGTCGTGCAGTGCGTCTTTAAGTCCGGACTGCTAAAGAAGCTCCATGCTGAGAGGCAACAGAATATACATCTTATCAACATCCTTCTTGTTTTTTTCAGAAGAAAGAGAAAAAGCATCGCAAGCTAGTCAGCACGAATTCACGGCAATCGCAGGGCTTGACTGGAAAAGCTGCACAATGCCCTGATTTAGTTAATGTTTTTGTATTTTTTGTGCCGTAGTGCGTTTACATGTTTGTTTGTTTTCCTCGCACGGTACAAAATACTTCTGTATCTTCTCCAATTTCTATGGATCGATGCTTATTGCAGCTTTTGTGTCGCTCGCAATATCTTGAAAAACTTATGTATGTGACTCATTTGTTGATTAATCACTCCTTCACACTCTTGTTATCAGG